AGCACAGATTTTGAAGGCCTGCACAAACCTCACTTCCCTCGTTGCATCTGCCAGGATGAACCTTTTAAAGGTTATTGTGTCAGAGTGTTTCCTGTCCCAGTTTCTGGGACAAGAAGGCAACAACAACAACAACAACAACAAAAACAAAACACAAATGCTATCAATTTCACAATTGCAAAAATCAGCTCTTTTCTTTTTGGTATACAAGGCTAAAAAAGTAGGAGTAAACGTCAACATTGAAGCCTGAGAGAACATCCAAAAATATGCAGTGTGCTTCATAAACACTTAGAAAAACTATAAAAAAATAATGTAGCTTCCATTCAACAAGAGAATGAAAATACTCTAGAGGAAAAGTCCAGCCCTTGGCATCATCATTGCATGGAATAAACTGACTCCACTACTCTATGTACATTATTTAAAGCTTGGAGACTAAACAGTCGATTGTAGTTGAAATCTTCATCATCTGAGGTTTAAAAAAACGTCTTTTCCCGACTTGGACTTCATGTCTGTGAGTGTGTGTGTGTGTGTGTGTGTGTGAAAAACCAACACATTTCTGGAGGAACGACCTCGGCAGCTGCTCTTCCGCCCGGTTTCCCACCTGAAGAGGCGTTTCAGCTGCCAGTTTGAAGCCTTTGTTGGAGATTCACACTCATAAGGTGCCACGTGTTCGTGCCATGTTCCCAGCTCCGAGGTATGAGGCTCCGGCAGTGCTCACACCAGTCCAGCCTCCCGACACATTCGGTAGAACTGTCCCCGCTGTGAGATGAGGCTGGAAGGAGAGTCCATCTCAGAAATGTGACCTCTGTCCATTACAATCACCCTGAGAGGGAAACCACAGAGACACAGCAGCTTTAGATGATGGACTGGACGACTGGGTTCAAATGATAGAAAGAGAGAAAAAACAAAACACATCCACAGGCAGTCTGGACCGTCACACACCTGGTGTAGTCCATGATGGTGTTGAGGCGGTGAGCGATGGTCAGGACAGTGCAGTCCTCAAACTGTGTGCGGATTGTGGACTGGATCAGCGTGTCTGTCTCCAGGTCCACAGCTGCTGTGGCCTCGTCCAGAACCAGGATCTTGGTTTTCCTCAGCAAAGCTCTGGCCAAGCAGACCAGCTGGCGCTGACCCAGACTGCAGAAGGAGGGAGAAGGGGGAGAGTGGGGAGTGGGAGGAGTCAGGTATTAGAGCCACGTGTTGACATGTTTAGAACAACTGTCCACTGCACCACGTCCAGCACAGGTACCTTAGGTTTTCTCCTCCTTCGGAACATTCATGGTCCAGTTTGTCAGGCAGGTTGGAGACAAAGTTCTTCAGGTGGGCGAGCTCTAAGGAGTTCCAGACCTCTTCATCTGTGTAGGTGTCAAAGGGGTCGAGGTTCATTCGCAGGGAGCCTGAGAACAGGATGGGATCCTGGGAATAATAGAGGAAAAGATAAAAAAGAGAGCAAGAGAAAGAGGGAGAGAGGGGGGCTTATTTAAAACCAAACTCTACAGGAAGAAAAAATAGTTTCTTTTACTTCAGATGAAGATCATTTGTTTTTGGCTTCATTCTTCTGTTTATTTGTAAGTGTTTTTATGATGTTTGTTTGCTAAACCCTCATCCTTTGTCAGAACAAAGAGCGTATCATCGGAGTGACCAGAAGGCAGCACAGATCCTCTCTCTCTCTAAATTTAGCCCAGTTACAGAATCAAACTATTGTAAACAGTTTATAGAAGAAAAGCCAGGGCTCAGTGTCTGTTCGTGCTGCTGTCGTACCTGAGGAATGATCGTAATGCGGGACCTGAGGTCATGGAGTCCAATGTCCTGGATGTCGACTCCGTCTATGAAAATCTTTCCCTTTGCTGCCTCCAGGATCCTGAAGATTCCCAGGGCAAGTGAGGACTTCCCTGCTCCAGTTCGACCCACAATTCCAACCTGAGAAGGAAGCGATTGATAGGTAAGAGCACGGTACAAAATGAGCACAAGCACTAAATCTAAATGCAGCAGGTTGGGTTGTGAATGTTTTAGAGCAGGGGTCCCCAAACCCTGGTCCAGGGACCAGTGCTGGTCTGTAGCGTGGTAGTACTGGTTCGAAGTAACGGATGATACCAGCTGACCAGTCTCTGGTACTGTTGTAGATTTCAGTTTTGTGGGACTGACTGTGATGGCAGTTTGGTTTAAATAAAAAAGAATCTCAAACCAGATCTAATACCAAATCTAACAAATTTTAGATTTTAGGTAGTTCAACTTTCAGTTCGTAAACTTCTCAGTTTTAATTTTTTTATGCAATTTTGCAATTTTGGGTAAAACATATGAAGAAAATCTGGTGGACTTCACTGATCAACTAGAATATTGTTGTCTTTGTCTGTGAGTCCCTGTTGCTTCATTTAGAGGTGTGTGAGCCATAATTCAATGTTACCCTGGTATGTGGCCCACTCACCCTCTCTCTTTCGTTGATTTGCAGGGTGATGCCCTTCAGAGCCAGCTCCAGGCCTTTCCTGTACTGTAGCCCATAGTCCTGGAACTCGATGGTCCCTCTCTGGGGCCAGGCTGCAGGCAGGGAGCTGCCCTCGATATTCCAGCTGGCCTGAATCAGACCATGACAAGGAGTGAGTGGAGAACAAAAACACTGTTTGTGTTTGTGTATGAGTGTGTGTGGGTGTGTGCGCGCCGGCCGCAGCACTAACCTCTTTAGCTGTGTCGGCGTATTCACTGACTCTCTCCACAGAAACAATGTTGTTTTCCACATCAGTCCAGGATCTGACGATCCAGCTCAAGATCCCGGTCACCTGTAAAGGCCAAAGAAGTTTCAATTTAGTTTCTTTTCTTATTCATCGGTGTAAACACTTTACACTTTACACCCGGCAGCATTTTGTTATTGCGACACTAGTGAAAAAAGGATGATAAACTGCTGGGGTATTTTCTAGGCTTCTAACATTACTGACCAATACTCTAAAAATGTCTGAGATGAGATGTCAGGTCAGGTCTGGCATACCCCAGGGTTCAGTGCTGGTACCACTGCTGTTCATATTGTAGATAAATGTAGACAAATGACATTTTAAAAGCAAACAGAATATTTGATATTATTATTTTAAAAGATATGTTTTTATGTTAAAACCTCAGTTCAAAAACAAAATATGTTGTTGTATAAACCAAAATTTAAAAACTGGAAATGTCAGTGATGGTCAAAATGTTGACCTGAAAAGGATGTAAACTTCACCAGATGTCATATATGACCTATATAACCCCTTTATTAATATCATAACATATATTCAATATGTAAAAACCACGAAGCTAACTTCTTGTTAACCTTTATGCTAATAAGCCTTTGTCTTTGGGGTGAACTCTGAACTTTTCAGTTGGATTTCAAAGAACAAGAACATAAAGATAAGATAGAATACACATTATAAAGACTAAATACTTTGTTAATAACCTGATGGACACATTGCGGAGGCTCTGGGTGAGTGGCATGTAGATGGAACCACTAACCTGAAGTGAGTGTGACACAGCCAAACCAACGATGCCTGGACTCAGAGTGTTTCTTCCCATCACTGACAGGATGGCAGCAGCTAAAACCACACAGTTGCCGACAAACTCCAGGTTGACGGCCAGCCACCTGTGAATACAACCCTGCTTTAGCTGAAGGCTGGTAGCTGACAACATAAGTCTTCAATACTGCAGCCAAGACTCCTTTTAAACCATTCAACATCTGACGTCATCAGTATGAGTTCCATGTGAATAATTACCCTCCCTCCACATGAATAAGCCTGATATATTCTCACCGTGTGGCAACAAATCGTGGGAAGTAGGCGGTCTGGTTGAAGTCCACTCTCTTGTCGGCCTGCAGAATGAACCTCGACTGTTCCCCGAAGGCCCGAATGACGCTAGTGCCCTGCACCGTCTCATTGAAGTGGGTGTAAATGGGCGAGCGGCTCACAGCTTCCAGTCGGCGCAGCTGACAGGATGTGGCGACGTAGAAGCTCTGTGAGCCAAAATGGAAAAAGTAAAAACACACAAACATTACTGAGTGAAACCAAGAGCCTGGATCTGAGGGATTTCCCCTAATTCAGAGCAAATGTGTGTAAAAGCATGTCAGCAGGTGAGAAACAAAACACAACAGAAGGGCAAAATCAGCAGCGTTGGTTTTGGAACCAAGAGTTTTCCACCATTATGCAGTAATGGAAGCAGGCTTTGGCTGAACCTCAGATGAAAGAACGTGTTCAAGGAGGGAGAAAATCAAGGTTGTCGGTGGGTGATTTAAAAGGGTGGAAACTTTTACCTGGACACAGGCGTAGAGGACGGCCAGAGGCAGGATGATCACTGCTGCGAAAGGCGTGGCCATCAGCACAATGATGCAGACCTCCATCAGTTTGAAGACGTAGCTCAACATCATCTTCAAACCATCGGGCACCATGCAGTCGATGGCGTCGATCTCTTTGGCGAAACGGTTGAGGAGGTTGCCACTGGGCGTGCACTCAAAGAAAGACATGGGAGATCTCAGCACGTTGATCAGCAGATCCAGGTGCAGCTGTCGAGAGGCGATGATGCCGCAGATGGAGATAGCAACCGTTGTACCAAAGATGGCAACACCTGAAGAGAGATGTGTTTGGTCAAACATGAGCGCAAAATACCCATGATGCAAAACCACTGGATATGAGTTGTCCAAAATGAGGGGCACAAAGTTCCAGAGCTGGAATGTTCTGGAGATGTGGATATGGCCCAATTTAAGGCCACAGTTGAAGTAAATATGACCATGTGTTAAAACCTCATGAATCAGGATAAACCTTTTTTAGTGTCTTGAACTTGGCCTCAGCATATTCTGACCTGAATCAAATTTTTCATTGATAATTTGTTATTACATGATTTGTTGGACACCAATGTAATGGATGTGGCCCACTAGCACCACTACAGGCCAAGGTAATGGTGTTAGACAGTAAAGTGTCAGAAAAAAATATCTGTACACGGGGAACCAGAAGTTTCTCTGACTGACCTTGTACGAAGCCCAGAGCTCCAAAAACACCCAGTTTCAGGTCGGTGTCCAGCTGGGTCCCATTAACAATAGGGTCGTCGGCCCACATGCTGAGCCAGTAGTTGTAGGTCAGTGAGGCCCCCTGCTGGAAGGCATAGAGGAAGACGATGCAGATAATGATGGCCAAGCCGATGGTCTTGAAGTACTTCTTGTACATTGCCAGTCTCACCTTCAGAGGAAAAAAAACAGGGCAGAAAACAAATCAGTCTAAGATCCTCAAACTAGAATAAAGATGTGATGAAGAAAACCTTTAATAAATAAATAAATCTGACAAAATAGGCTTAAAATTTCTTCTAATTTCTGCTCAGTTTTTATCTTCACTACAAAACTGTGGCAAACACCTTCATAGTGTGGAACCCCAGTTAGACGAGTCCAAAACTGTTCTAGAATTGAAATGAAGGTTGTACACGTTCACTTTATAAATAGTTCAAATATGGCCCACATTTGGTACTAATAATGTGTCCACCCATGAGAGTCCAACCCACTTCTACCAGGGCAGAGAAGCAGGAGGTGTCAGGATGGAATATAAATGGTTAAAGCTATATCTGGGTAAGACTTACTCTTCCAGTGCGGGCTTTGTCGACCACGGTCAGTTTGCCCAAATCCTCTGGTACCTGTTCCTGGTCTGTTTCATTCACAGGCTCCATGTTCTGCAGATTAGTGTTAGTGGTGTCACCTCTGGAGGATGAAGAGAGAAATCAAGGGTCAGGGTCACTTAAGAGTTGCCATAACAGGTGAGGCAGCTGTGGGATCAGGATCAGGATCAGTTTTCTTCTCATCTATCATGTATGTATATTCCTACCCAATCAGCTGCTCCTGTGACAGGTCTCTGGAGAAAGGCATGAAGTCCACCATGCTGAGACGAGCATTGGACCTTCTGGATCCAGCTACAACGACAACTCAGGTTCATTCAACATTCTATCAACAACATCAGTCGGCAAAAGCTGAGGTGGAGACCCACGTGTATCATCTCTCACCTCTCTGTATGGCACTCTCTTTTCTCTCTGTGTTGGCAAAGGTGTGGATGAAGTCAGCAAAGGCCCCGTGGCGGCCGAGGAGCTCCTGGTAGGAGCCGCTCTCCGTGATCTCTCCATCGACCAGGACCAGAATCAGGTCAGCCTGTGGCAGGAAGCTCATCCCATGAGTCACCAGGATGCGGGTCTGTAAAAGAAACCACACAAGGAGGAAAAAAAAACGGATGTAAGCACAATCCAATATCAAATTGAAGCTTTCTTACGAACAAAAGTGTCAGCAAAGTGGCGGCTGGTGTGTGAGGATAACAATAGCACTGGTCAGTGCTGACTGCGAGAGGTTGAGGTGTCGTAAAAACCAGTTCTGGCTCTGTGCAGCTGACCGACGACCTGGACTTTGGAGGTTTCTTTTCATGTAATACCTTGTCTCTGAGGACTCCTTTAGGTCCAATGACTTTGTCGAAGATGTGCTGACCCACGTGGGCATCGACAGCAGACAGAGGATCATCCAGCAGGTAGACGTCGGCCTTTCGGTACACAGCTCTGGCCAAACTCACTCTCTGCTTCTGTCCACCTGACAGGTTCAGACCCTGGACAATAAAGATCATAAGAAAGGCATCAGACACACAGTATCCAAGGGCAAGAAAGTCATTATGGAAGTGATAAAAGGTTAAATCTTTAATTGAACAGCAGTTTATTTGTCAGGTCAAAGAAATAGTTTTTCTTGTTTTGCACTGAAAGAGAATGACTTTCATTTGGTCCTTTCATCAGAGGTCACAGGTGGTGTACCAGTGACAGGGCAGATTTTACACTGGATGCTGAAGTGTTAATGAAACCTGAAGCCCTCTAGTGGCAGATATGAGAACTACTGTACTATAGCAACACCGGATAGCCCACGTGTACTACCTAAGGTGCCCGTGGTGTATCTTCTTAAAATGAAACTAGTCAACAAGAGGGTCAACAAATGTACTGTTACTGTGGTTTTTGAATTAGTTACACTTGCAACGATATTCAAATGGGTACAATGACAAACAGTAAGGAGAGTGTCTGCTATAGAAAGCCCCAGAAATAATTATTATTACATTGTTTGGGAAGTCTGTTTCAAACAAGTAGATCTTTGTATTACTAAGTGCCCTGAAGTAGCTCTCAGTTCCAAAAAGGTTGGAGACCCCTGCTTTAGCCACTTTAGCCCCACTTCATCAATTTTCACTGACACTTAACTTAATTAGATATTGAAGAAAACTCAGCAAGATATTCCCAAAGGCAGGTTTATCACTGAGTCACATCCTGTTTTTTTATGAAAACATTGTTCAAGTGACCTTTTGACACATCCTTGTTGTGTAAAAGACGCAACTGCTCAACAGTCTGTTGTCAGAGTTGTCTCAACCTTTCATTAAAACGTGTAGGAGCAGGAGAAAGCAGGCAGGCCAGTCAAGTTACAAAGCATGATTCAACTGTGACGATGCTCCTCACAGACCCATTTTAATACCCAAACATTCTACCATTAACCTGCTCATTTAGGAATGTACTGGGATGTTATTAGACCTTTAAGTCCCAATCAACTGGCCCCAGACTTTCGCTGCAGACCTCAACTATGAATAAGACCTCATATTCACACCTTCTCTCCTATTTCTGTAGCATCTCCAGCAGGAAGAATGTCCAGATCAGGCAGCAGAGCACAGGCCTCCAGCACACGATGGTACCACGTCTTCATCTTCTCTCGCCCAAATGTGATGTTGTCCTGGACTGTGGCGTTCTGGATCCAGGCTTGCTGAGGCACGTAGGCCACAGAACCCTGTGAAGATCACAAAGCAGAGACCGTCAATATTTTGTAAAAATTAAAGCCACAAACCGCAGACGATTCTTGCTCATAAAACACAGGCTCAGCACCTTGACAACGACTCGACCACTTCTTTTTTCTGTCTCCCCCAGCATGGCAGACAACAGGGAGGACTTTCCACTGCCCACATGTCCCACCACAGCAACGAGGGAACCTCGTGGTACGCGAACACTGATCCTGTCAACAAAGATGTAAATGTAAATTATCCACTGGGTGTTTGTGGATTTCCTGATTTATTTTTAGGCTTTACTGTTGTTGTTTTCTTTTAATACCTTTTAAGACATGGTGGGCCCTCTGCAGACCAGCTGAAAGTACCACCGTCTATCAGCATGCCGTCCCCTTCTGAATGAAACAGAAAAAAAACAAAAAAGATTAGCTATCTTATTCCAAGCAAAATTCACTAGCCCTAATAAAAAAAAAAATCAGCCTTAAAGTAGTCTTATCTCTAAACCAAAAGACTATCCCTAATTAAATGGTTTGGTTTAAATCGATCAAAAAAACTAAAATATTTGAAACCTTGGAAACACCCCAAATCCTACTGTAACACACCATTTATTGTTTCTGTGTTAAATATCCCAATGTCAGAATTATTAATTTATTACTTTTTATTCCTTTAAACTTTGTTAATCTAAATATTTTTCATTGATTTAATTTGGCTTTTAAATCTTGTTTTTTTTAAATCAGAAAACAGTGAAAAACCAAAATCTCCAAACTTTAAATCTCCAAACATCAACGTGGCTATAATTAGAAGTCTTTTTGGCTAATAATACAAATGACTGAGCTGTTGCTTTTTCACTGGCCTTACGATGTGTCAACAGTTTATAGACAAAAGAGGGCAGTGTGTTTTTCAGTTCCTCATAAATCATATGTCTGAATTCACGCCGTGATTTACATTTCACCACTAAATGGGAAGATCCTATAATTAACATGTCTGACAGTCAGGCCTTGAACCAGGAAGTGACAGTGCACATGATCCATACAAGACTGTGGTGAACCACAGATATAAACAACAACATCTGGAGGCCTGCTTCTATTGATCCTGACAGCCTGTTATTTTAGGACAAATGGGAACCAGAAAGTGTCAATTGGTTACAGTAGATGGTGCAGAGCAGAGGTTTCTTGGTTCTGTTTGGTTTTATAGGTCTATGCATGGGTGTGGCTCCTACCAGAACTCTGTTGAACCTTTGTGACATTGCCCGCTTTCAGCTCTTCTGAGCACAGGTACTTTCCCAGACGTCTGAGTGAAACCACAGCCTGAAACAGAGCTCAAGGTTAGTGAAGTGAGATGTTTACACCACCGGCTGTTTGGATGGAGAAAATATCTCAGATGATTAAAAAACAAAACAAAAAAAAAAGACAGCCACCTGCATGGTCGTGCTTATTGCAAATGGCAGCTGACTCAGGGGAGCCTTCAAGATGTTGATCAGAGCCATGGAGACGAAAACCTTCTGTGCATCAAGGACGTTTCTACTATCCAGCATCACGTAGACGCCAAACATCGAAAATGCAATCTTGGAGGGAGGGAGAAAGAGATGATGTTTACAGTGTGATGGATGATTTGGACTTCTGTTAAAAAGCCATGAAATAAAAAGGTTTATAATCTCACAACTATAAAATGCTACAGGCTAACAAAGAAAGCTACATTAGCTACATCAGAAATGATGACCTGTGTAAATTCAAGGAGAATCGATGTGATTTTGGAACTCTCATAAAGTGTTTTAAATGTGTCCTCACCAGGAAGGATGAGGAGTTAAAGGAGGCGATGGAGATGGAATAAAGGATCTGAGACTTTTTCAGGGCTTCAAGCTCCTTCTCTCTGTAACCCAAGACCTGCTCCAGGAAGGCTTTCTCCCAGGCATAAAACTTCAAGATCTTTATTCCATTCAGGATCTCGTTCATCAGTCTGATGCGGCCATCCATGAACTTCATCTGGATTTCCTGTGAACCAGACAGACGCCCGAATTTAATTGCTTCTTTTTTTACAGTTTAAACACAGTGAAAAGTGAATTACCAGTCAAAGGAAATACATACATTTGTAAACATTAATTTGTCTGATCATGTTACAACAGTGGATTTTCCAAAACATCACAGAAGTTCTAAATGTTGAATGAATGTACTGCCAGTTAGGTTCTAGTGACTTTCATGATGAGGGGGGAAAAAAAACAAAGGGACTGAGGAATGTGGTCACTTCAGTGAAGTTTACGTTCGATTAAATTGGCACCAAAAATTACCCAGCTCTCAGTTGTTTTTCCAGAGAAGTGAAAAAATATGTCTTCCTACTGCCCACCCTTTCCTGTCATTGTTTTTCAAACATGTTATATGAGGCAGACATCAAAAGGACAAAGGAGAATGTACCATCCAGGCCAAACACCCACACGGCTCTTCAGCCACTATCTAAACCAGCTGTGGCATCTCTGACCTAGTGCTCCAGATGTCAGAGCTCCTGCAGCGGTTGGAGCTGAGGATTCTGTTCACGGCCTTTACCTGCAGCTTGCTCCTTTTCTTTGCGATGAATCCATTGAGCGGGAAAATAAGGATGACCGTGGCGATGCCTGCCAGAGCCGACGGGCCCAGATGCTGAAGAAAAAAAGGAAGATCAAATTTTGTCAAGTTTTGGTCAGAAACAAAGACACGTCCCTCAGACACAGCTGTCCCATTCATGAGTGTAAAGTCGTCCTGTTTGTGACAAACCTGCCAGAGGAAGAAAAGACAAAGGGCGATCTCGATGGGAGCCAGCCAGACAGCATTAAAGTAGACCACAAAGTCCATGAGTTTCTGAGTGTCTGCTGAAACCAGATTCACAATCTCGCCCACGGTGCACGTCCTCCTGGCCGAGCTGTTTATCACCAAAGACTGCAATGACAACAAAAGGGAGAAAGACGTTCAAACCTCAGCGCATTGTCTCTGACCTAATCTTACAGCATCATAAAGACTTCACATGATCGTTCGTCTTTGGTAAGGAGCTCTTAATCATGGTGCGTGTTAAGATCTCGGCTTTTGTTTTTGGCCAGTGAAGACATCATTTATGTGGGATCTCGAGGTCAAACATCTGTGGACACCGGCGGACCCACCTTCCTGTAGACCAAGCCCATGACCGCTGTCTTGACCCTCATTCCCACAGTGAAGCAGGTGTACATGTACTGGTGGTTGAAGAGAGACTGGAGGCAGGAGAGCAGGAACATGAGCGTGGCGTAGAAGTAGCCTTTCCACAGAGGAGCGTCCTCGTCTCTCATGAATCCCAGGAGAAGACTGAGAAGAGAGAGAGATGCAGCTCATTAATACATGGCTGTCAGTTTCTGTATTCTTATGATGTGTTAAATGGTGACCCCGACATGGGGCGTGGGAATTAATTTGGTGGACGGTGCTGTAGCACTAGGAATCTTGGACTAGAGCATTAATGACCAGGTGACTTTGACTTGACCAAGTGACTTGTTTCAACTCAGACTCGTAGCAATAGGGAGTAGCCTGGCCCCTGACCCCTAGGACCTAAAGCCCTGAGCACTCAAGTCTTCAGTCACTTTAACATCTGTGAGAGTTCAAGTTGAAGATTTCTCTGATAGTGACCAGGATGGATGGAGTAAGAAGAAACTGGATCTGAGAAACCACCAAGTTTGAAGATTTGTGGTACAGTATTAACCTATGCTGGGCACAGACAGTGGACAAGTGGACAGTGCACAAAGATGAGAATTTAGAGATGGGATGGAGGTGATGGCAGATGATGGTCCTTCGTGGCGACCTCTGGGGGGACACATGGAAGAACTGCTCACACTGACTGTACTGTACTGTACTGTATTTCTGCATGGTATGGGGTTTTCCCTCGATGATATGAATGAAAGCAGATGGTTTTTAGCCTGTCAACACCATTTTTACTATGTTTTTTTTTCCATTCTGACTGGATCTTATCTGACTTTCGCTGCGTCTTCGCCCAGCGTCCTTGAGCGCTGCTGTGGCTGCTGGCTGTCTGGTCTGCACAAAGTAGTTTGGGTTGCACAACAGAGCTCAGCCTGTGGCCGGACTGCCCTCACACTTGGCCAGCGGCTCCATTATTGTGGTCCAATTGCATTTCTGCCATTTAGAGCCTGCTCTCCCTGCCTGCCCGTCCCCCAGACTGGAGAGCTGTGGTCTTGTCTCCTTTTCTTGCTCACAGCTCCATGACCATAATTAACACTTCCACTGGGTCTCTGTGCCGTGCATCAACAACAACATTCCAGTCTGGCCAGTGGGGTGGTGAGGAGGGTGGCAGGTCAGTCGTGACCTGTTTACTCTGCTGCCAGCTTCTGTTGTTATTTAGTGGACACGTTAAGAAATGATGTAAAAATACTGCAGTATCGGTTCATCTGTACTGTGATATTTCTGTAGTAACCCACAACCTTTAAAACCAAGATTTAATCAAATTAACATACCGAGGAAAATCATCTTCAGTCATCACATCTGCCCTCAAATTGAATTTAACGGTTTGGTAAAAGAAACATAATCAAATCTTTTTTTTCTCTGAGTCTGGTCTGAATTACTGTTTATTCAGGTAATTTCAGTCTGAGCTGAGGTTAACAAATATATTTTAAAATACACACCAGTCAGAGCCATTTGGTTGTGAAACTTCAATATTGTCATAAACAATATATTTTCTCCAAATAGTGAGGCACAGTGACTTATAATCTGCTAATAACAAGCGACCTGTCATATCATTAAATTATATATTAGTGTTAACTTTTAAGATACTTTAAGGCTAACATCATGAGACACTTTTCCACCAGGAGTTTGTTTGTAGCCAAATAGTTTTTTCCCTGGTTTTGAATATCTTTATAAAGGTAAAAACCTTGACCACAGGTAGCTTTCTACCTGCTGTGGCTCACTGGAAGATGGAGACTAGCTGGGAAACAAATTCTAGGTCACTGAAGCATGTGGATCAAATGAGTTTATATGCTTTCATTTCTATTCCAACAGTAGATTCTTTTGAGGTGTAGTGAGGCTGGAGCGGACTCTTTGTCCTACCTGAGCACCTGAGGGATGGCGAACATGAAGACGTCGTGGAAAATGATACACAGGGTACCAGTTAGGAAATATGGACCAAACTTTCTTGTCAGCGTCCTGAGCAGGAAGAAGCCAGAGCTTTGCTCCTTCTGCAGCTTCCTGAGGAGTTGAGCCTGGTCTGGGAGTCTGCTTTCCAATGCCACGCTGGACGCCAGCGCCTTCTCCTGCCTGCCAGAAAAATGTACACATTTAGGGCTGAGGCACTGGTGTGAGAGACGACCCTACGGTCAGCTGCGCTGTCTTTCACATCATTCACATGAAGCCATGAAGCTGACGGACTGAAGAATTTGCCAACAGCGGTGAAAGCCATTATTCAGTGACATAATGAATAGATTTCACTACAGATCTTCAAAGCACTGGCTCATGTTAACAAGCTCTGAAAATGACACAGGACACTTGTCCTGACATTATGGCACTGGTTGTCCTCAGAAGACTCATCACGGACCTATTTTTGGACTTTTCTCTGGTAATGAGACATACCAAATGTTACTTTACCGCCATCACAGGGAAGTCGTGCTCTGTTTGGGCCATTAAATCAAGTAGCACCATGTAAACGTTTGACCACACTTCAATAAAGTGGATTTGAAATCTTTGGCTGTTAGTCTTTCAGTATTCAGGGCTGTTCTACGGCAGGATTGAAGCTGTGGAGACTGTTCTCCTGCTGGAATCTAGAAAAGCAGTGAGCTGAGAAATACTAGTCCAAACTACATCAACAATCAGCTGAAGGCTAAAGGAAAACAGATGCATATGGAAGCTAAAAATATAGCTACAATTAATATAAAAGTTGTTTTGTTTCTGTTTTTTTTAGGAAATAACTTGCAGAACAGAAACGCCACCAAATTATATTGGTTTGGAAATAAAAATAAACCATGATGATTGTTTTTTTTTAACTGATGACTAATGACTACAGGTCCCTCCATATGTTGACTTGTTGTTTTGTTTTTTTTAACTCAGTTCATACTATGACTACAGGTCCCTCCATATGTTGACATGACACTGCTATTGCTGGAGTCAGTGCTACTTCTCCATATTGTTAAACAATTGAAGAAAATATTATTTTATATGTAATAATAACATAAAATGGCTCTGTGCCTCCTGAGGGTGAGAAGGGTCAGTTCCTCACTTTGGCAAACCATTAAATATGACTTGACATTGACATTAATTACTTTTGAAGTTTGGCGCACTCTGTTGTCCAGGCCTGCTAAAGCGCCGCCATGATCTGCTCTGAGGTGTCCTCCCCCCTCAGGGTCCACAGGTCCTCTGCTGCCAGGGGCCGGCGATATCCTTTCACAACAAGCCTGAGGAGACAGTGATGAGATGATTCATGCACTTAATCGTCAACACAACACACATATTATTGTAAACAAGTGCAAACTGTTGCTGTAGTGACTCAACCCAGGCCTAAAAATGATGGGGTTGTGAAGAACCGTCTTACCCAGTGAACCACCAGAAGAGAATCTTTGACAGGAATGAAGCATCCTTCACAGGACAGGGATTCTGCAGAAGATTAAAGAGCAGAGTCACACACTTGTTTTCCACATAAATCTCTCACCACTTAAAGGCTTTCTCAGAAACACACAGCTTCATGGAGGCCAGTGCTTGGTGTTTCAGTGCAACACTGGAGGGAGGGTGGAGGCAGGACAGATGTGTTTAAACAACGCCGTGCAGTCAGGTGGTGCATTGTGGGGGGGAAAGGGCGGCAAACTACCACAGGTCAGAATAAATAGAGTTCAGTGTTAGCTCAGGGTGAAGGGTGACGTTCTGAGGTCCGGTGCAGACACTGCGGAAATGTGTCATCAGAAAATGTGCAGAGAGTGGATTTATACTCTCTGGAGTAGACACTGATGCACAGAAAGTTTCTTCACCCACACAACCTTCGTGGCATCCCTCCACCCTACTGCCCCCGCACACGGCTGTTTGCTCTCTTTGATACAAGTTCATTTGCTCCTTGTCCCCTTCACTTCCTCTCTTCCGGTGAGTGAGTAAGTCAAACCAAAGCGTGGGGCGAAGGAAGACGAGGAGGACACAACAAGGTCCAACCAATGGGTGTGTCCACCATGGCTGACTGTGGCTTCTGCGCCCTCAGGCTCCTCACCACATGCCAGGAGTTAGTTAGTGAGGGACTTTTCCAGTTATTTTGTTTATCAACATGTGACATCACATGTCGCCGGGATGGATTGGATCTGAACTGTTTACCTGACGGGGGCCAGATTGTGAAAAAACACTCAGAGGTTCACCTGGCCTTACTGTGATAGATCGTTAAAATGAGATGGATATAAGTCTACTGCACTGTTTGTGTAGTGTCTAATAGAATGGAAACATACCTTTGGAACATAGTGGGAAAAAAACCCTAATGTGACTGATATTACATCAGATGGTGGAAAAGAAATGAAAACAATGCTGAATTTTATGTTCTATACAGATCAAATCGCTCTTCTAAAACATCGCCCCATATTTTTTCTTCTGGCTAAAATTAGTAAACGTCACCAATAATATAACTAAATAACATAATAATGTTGTTAGCCAACAAGGCAGCAAAAAATGACAAAAATGAACTACAGTAGAAATCGAATTAATATTAGTATTAATAGTATTAAATTATTATAAATCAATATAAAACAAAGCAAAGTTATACTGTACACACAGCTCAGTAGCTAATATATAGCCAAAGGTAGCTAAAGGCTAGCAGGTGGGTCTGAAAATAATCCGCTTCACCCGTCAGTCATCCGGCCACAGCTTCCTGTTATGAGTTTCTCAGATTTGTTTTTGATAAGAGGATGAGAAAAAAATATTAAGCAATGTTTTTCCTGATGTGTCGGTCACAATGTTCAGCTGTTTCTGGGCCCAGTGAGTTGTGTTTAAGGCATTCGGGAGGACAATGTCAAACACACATGCAGTCATCCACTCGCTGCTCACACAGGAAGCCAAAGTGGAGTGAGGAAAGTGAGGGAGGAGGAAGAAGGAATGGAGGGAGGCGGATCACATCATTTCCTCCAAAAGGGAAAAGCGTCTTCACAAAAATCTCAGAAACCACATTGACAGTTGCTCAAACATGTTTTTTTTTACAGGACATTCTCCTCTGCCTACCTTTTCCAGGATGGTTTTTCCCACTGGGGGCTGGTCAGCAAAACAGCACAAAAAGAGCTGGAGCGTTTGGATGGTGAAGTAGGAGTAGAAGGCGAGGTGTCGCACAATGTCAGAGGCAAAGCCCTGGGGAATACATACAAGAAAAGAACAAGAGGAGTGAGGAGGCTGCTGCAGAGGCAGAACGGTTACGTTAGAGTTCCTCGGGTTTATTTACTTTAAACGGTGCCAGAAAGGTTTCGTAAATGTGCCTTTCATACAAAACCAAGGTCGATTGTTATTTGCCTCATGGCAAAGAAAATGCCGCAGAAAAATAACATTGCACAGACACCATAACAAAAAGGTTTTCAACAGGGCTGAGATGTGCTCTACTTCTTTCATTTCTGACTTTTTCCCCCTGCCTTTCTCACGCTTGAGGATTGAACACAGCGGAAATTATTTAAACACCCAGATCACAGACACAATAAAGAGCATGTTGGCCTTTAAACTAAATCAGAGTAAAACCCCAAACTCTTTAATGGTTGACTTTACAAAAATAAAGCCAGAGTCAGAGCTGCCTTTCTATCACGCCAACCAATCGCATCTGTAAATAGGAAAATTGTGGTTTCACAAACCGGCACTCTCACTTACGACTGCTGCGATATTAACCACTCTGTGACTCTTTATGAAGTGCAGCTCTGCCATGTTGTTCTACACATACACAAAGTGTGGCTTCTGGCAGAAGTTATTGTTTACTACTAGGTCGGCATCCAACACCACAGCCAGCCTGTTGCACAGCAGCATCCATTAAAACTAGAGCCATGGCAAACAGTTAAAAAATGATTTTCTGTGAAAAAAGTCTGCTCTGCTCAGAAAACAGATACAAAGAAGCCAAATGGACCTGGCCACAGTGTGGAAATAGGGGCCAGGTCGGTCACTGAGCGGGTGGGAAAAATGTAGGTCAAGCAGCTAAGAATGGATGAGGGTCCACAAACACGAACTCTGTCAACCCCTGCTGTCCACACTGCAACGTGAATAAGACATCTTCTTCATAGCACCTGCTTTATAATATTTAGAATATGTTTCAATAAGGTGTGTGAACGCCTTGACTACATGACAGGTGTCAGAAGCTGTAATAAATAATGTGCCTTTCACTGTTTATGTTGGAACACAGAGAAGATAAAACCTACAAACACTTCAGGTCACAGAGGATCATCTGCCTTCATCTCACCACGTCTCCACCCTCCTACTATTACACATCTTCTCCATGTCATCCTGTCCCAGTGCTTCCCACTCCTCTCTATCTGCACCTCCCCTCATAGCTATTAATTCAACACGTCTTTATTCTCAATGATTGATATTCTCCCTGAACATATGTGACGCTACGTTCTCTGGCTTATACGTGTCTTGCACCACGTTCATATACTTCACTGCCACTCCTGACTTTTCTATTTTCTATTTTTCCTTGTGTGAGACAAATGTTTGGTGAGTTCCAAATGCCCTAAAAGTACCTAATTCAGAATGTGGATCACAAGGTAAACACATTAATAAAGTACCTGGGAATTGCATCCCAGGTACTTTTACCATTTTTTTCTTTTCTGGAGATTCAGCATGAGATGGGAACATTATGTGTGCATCATTTGACCAAAATGTCTAATTGTATTATTAGCTCTGCTCATCGACAGTCTTGATAAGAAGGGGCATCCTAAGTATAGTAAATCATTTTTGATTTTTTAAGAAGACAATACACACTTCAGAGGTGAAGGGAAGGTGAAATATATGGGCAGTCACGTGCGAATGCCTTGCGTGTGTGTGGTGGTGCGAAAAGAAAACATCTGCGTCTGAAATCCAAACGCTCTCACATTATGTGTGGATGCATAGATTTCCATCTGGCTGTGTTTACGGCAGTGTAGGCCCATAAACACAACGCTGACGTTCCTCTGGTCTGACCCTGGGCTGCCGTGTCTCACCAGCACTTATCCCAGGGCCATCATTACTCTCCCCCAAGCAGTGTGGGAATGTCACACTGAGGGCGATAAAACAGAAATATGGATGTGTGTGTTTGTGTGTTTTTATAGAAATGCAAATGTGACTGCCCCGCAGCTCTGCACGCTTAAATAGAAACTTATCCCATACAACAATGATTGCAGTGTCTGACAGGAGACACAGGAAGAAAAGGCAAACTTAAACACACACAGGCTTGACCAGAATTGGCAGTGTCATCCTCCAACACTTGGTTAACTTTAGGTTACCTTGGTTTAAAGTGGGGGATGAAATAGAAACTCTGTGCTGACACAGGGATATCTCAAGTTCTGCTCCTGGAGTCTTGTGTCTAGACTATGGGTAGGAGTGGACCTGATTAGATATCCTCGCACAGTGAGCTGACACTTGAGGTTCAGTGGGTTCAGACCTGACAAACACTCACTTTGGTGGCCGCTTATTCCTGATTTACCATACACTATATATATATATATATGTACACACACACACACAATTGTTGTTTGAATTATGTGGTAGTGAGCGGGCTGGTACCTGCCAATCCAGACCCAGACCCCAAGGGTATTAATTTGTGGGGTCGTAACACTCTTTTGGTATTGTCAAAATATATGTCTATACAAGTTCAACTTCCCCTCCCACCACAGAGGGTCATAATATTTCAGACAGCCATAATGTGGACTTCAGAGCAGCAGACACGGTGGTCGTTAAGTCGACTTTTTATAAACTTTTTTTTCTCGCTTCTTATGAAAGTGTACATGCTAACTTTTTGCCGTGTTTATGTCCTAATGAAAATATCCAGTTTACATAGTTGGCTAGACCAATGAACGGTTTCAAGGAAAACAACTGAGTTTTGGGTAATAAATATTTGCACTGATATATACAGCACCTAACCTTTTGGCCTTTTTTTTATCTGGTTGCTTGTTTTTCTTGCATGATCTGGCAACACTAACCAAGCTGACCTTCATTCTCTTTAAATGCTCATACTGACACGTATTAGTAAAGTTAAGTAACTAAAAGAAAGTGTGTCTTGTTTAGTTAAATTAACTAGCTGACGTAGCAAAAAATATAAATAATCAATGTTCACTGAGGTAAAATCGAACATGGTTAAATAATAATACATTGTTGTCAGCACCTTCAATCATCTATGCCCAATATCGTTTTGTGGCGTGTTTTTGAAGAAATGTAAGAAACAGCTTCACGTGCAATTATATTCTACTGGAGCTTTAATATCACACTTAAATGAACAGGCTAATTGTATACCTCATCTACAGCCAGCTGGATCTTGGCTCTTAGAGGCACCAGGGAGCACACGACAGCCAAGACCCAGAAGAGGAAAAGAAAGACTGAAGAACGACAGCCCCGGATTCTTTCCAACTGGATGATGCACAGGGCCAGAATCTGGGGAGAGACACAGACACAGAGAACATTTAGAAAAAAACCCAAAAAGTCTGGGAAATCACATTGATACTACACAGGAGAGAAAATAAACCCAGCTTATAGCCAGGCAGCAAACTGACAAAATCAAGAGTAAGAATTCATTGTATCCAAGTTGTAGAAGATTTAAACCTGGCTTGGACCTAAGCTTCTTCTCAAGCTTGTTCTTCTTCTTCACTTGAGAAAGTGTAGTCATTTCTCTGTAGCTGGTTCACTGCTACACAGCTAAAATACTTAAAAAGTAATGAAGGACCTGATGGATAAGCTGTACTGGAACCTAGCATATTATATATAGAATATATATATATATATATATATAATATATTGTATTATATATAAGTCTTTATGGTCCTGCTACCCTGCAGCTCAAAAGTCCGAAAACTGAACTCTCTAGGCAGAGGTTGGCAGATTGCTCAATCCCTCAGCGACAGGATGAAAAAGGGCATCTAGGACCCTCCCCACTCTGCCTTTAATTGGCTAGTATTTGTTGCTTGGTTAGTTTATCTCCCTGGTCATCCTGAGGGAAGTAGATTGAATTTCTTCGGCCAATGCCATGAACAGAGTGGGGGAAAATGGATTGAATGAAGACCAAACAACAGGACAATGTTAAAAGGTCAAAGGTCACTCTGTCGACCTGGTTGCTTGTTTCTCGGAAAAATCTGGCAACGTAGCTACTGCCCCATTTCCACTTTATGAAAAAGTGATTTCAAGAAATCACTGCGGTGAGAATTTGAATGTACTTTAGCCCCATGTAGTAACGTGCTACATTGCCTTACAGTCTGTCAGTACAAGTCTGTGGGTGGATCTAAGTCCATCACTAAGCCCCAAATCAAACCGCAGCCTTATAATTAAACAGGGAGAGTACAGTGATGGAGGAGGGAATGGCTGCTTTACGTAATGTTATTGCTGATTATAGCCAGTTTACTGGTTGTACTCTTAACTACTTTCATGGCTACTGACTGTGCTGCCTTTTGCGGCCTGAGTGACTGGCATACCCATACATGCTGCTTGAGTTGAAGGGCAACAAAACAACTCGGTCCCAGCAACAGCAGCAGAGTGTTCTAGGCCTGTACCCAGAAACTGGGCAGCTGTGTGGGCGGCTACAATCAACATGGAGAAAATTACATCCTTTATTAAAGATATATCTGGCAGGCAGATGTAAAGATCACTGACGTGCTCGCAATATATTTGTCCTCCTGCCTCCTGGTGTGATAAATGGCCTTCTTTAAATAAACACTTTTTGAAATGTATGCCTCAACACAAGAGACGTCTCAGAGTATTTTTTTAACCAAACACGTGCTGGTATTTGCTCAGGAGTCTGAAGAGACCACAGGTGGGCACGGCCGTCTGAGAGCGGCGGAGACTGACGGACCTGTATTCAGCTGCAGTGAGAGGAAGCTTTGTGAGGAATAAGCTTCTCAGCAGTTGTGGCCCGGCTTTAGAAGCTGAGCAGTCGCCCAGACTGACTGAGCAGTGCGACCTTGAACTGCATTGTATTTTCTTACATCACTCCTGCGCAGCATAAACAGCATTTTTAAAAACCCGCCGTGCCACCCAGGTGGTGAGTGAGCCGCACTTTTCTTCTGTTTGCCCCTAAACATCAGTGAAGCATCATTTGCAATGAGTGGAATTGATGGTTTGGGACACATTCAGGTCAATTTCCACCAACACAGACCACGGAAAACATTTCTTTAATCACACACTGGATCTTATCTTCTATAAATAATGACCCGCAGCCCCCCTTTCATGCCCCGTGTGTGTGTGTATGTGTGTGTGTGTGGGCATAATGGTTTGCTTCAAGAATCTGAATCAGACAAACAAGGACTGTAAAAATGAGAGACCTGAGCAGATAACGTAAACACACACTGATTTGGATCTACAGTAACCGTTTTGGCCGTTTGAGCTCTTCCTCCTGTGTGTAATCTCTGGCTTTGGAATAAAATCCTCATTTTCAAACTCAAACTTTCAAACTTAATGGCGCACGTTATATATAGTGTTAGCCAAACAATAGTGTCTGAGAGAGGAGCTGGCGTCAGACTGCACACCTGCTGTAGCATCAACATGAATACACACTCTCTGTGGGTTATGAGTCCTTACTTCTGTATCCAGTGGTTTTGTGTGCAGGTGTTTTCTTATTTTACATCAACACGATGAAATTTACCCAAGAGTCAATGCTCCTCCAGATCTGCGCAAGTGCTACAGAGACTCCAAGACTATTCCTTCAACAAGAGATAAGAAGTGCTAACTGCTAACTGAAACAAACTTTAATCTATGATGTGTGAAACAATGGACTGTAGTTTTAGCCGTGCTAAATGCTACGGCTACATATGAAGGAGAAAATTCCTCTAAAACATCTTTAAACTTCATTTAACAGGGGGCTTTTAAGACCTATGTCCTCAGTATAAGGCTAGACATAGACCAAAACAAATGCTAGCAAAACAATTTAATAGACAATAGCTAAAGATTAGCAAAACCAAGCATTAGCTGCAAAGTAAGAAAAGTCAAAAGATTATAACAGAAATTCCCCACAACTCACTCCACAGGAGCAGCTGGGCAAAGTCCATGTCCATTCTAGGTTTATATGACAAATAGTTTCTTGAAGGAAACCAGTCTCCAACTGGCAGAGCACCTAACAATCACATTCTCACTGCAGTGGAACTGTGCAGACACTGTGTCCACTGACGTCCACATCAAATAATAATTGATGTCATGAGTGGTGGTTAAACACAGAGTCAATGTTTTCCTGCTACTGCCATCTCCGCATTGAACAAAATATTATAAATCTGTCCAGTTATGCATCTTTGCACCTTAGTGTCAGGCTACTCACATGCTACATAATCGTTCATGTGTCTGCGTGTCCATAGACACATTAGCCTGTGGCAATATTCCCAAGAGTTTTCTGTTACCCACGGCAACAGTGCAGATATTTTGAAATGTACGTTATGGCTGGGAACCTATGGAACGACTCTAATGTTCTAATGTTATTGGTGGATAACAATAAGGTTTAAGATTAAGGATTAGGAATTACGACTTGTCACAAGGAACTACAACTGGTAAGAGTACGAATGGAAACCCACTAAGGTGTCATCAGAATCATTCCTTTCTATTCCAGATCCATGCATTCAGCAGTGACAGTGTGAATATAGATGAAAGCAGTGTTTACCACAGTCATGCTGCGTATGATGGGTCCAAGTAAGAAGACCAGGTGCTGCTGGATCTCCTGGCTCCTCTCCATCAGGATGTAGAAGAACTCCACGAAGCCAAATGAGGCCAAGAGGAAACCCAGGACCTGATCATGACAGGACAGGACACGAATACAGGACTGATCAGACGAGCTAACATGTTATTAACTTATACAACTGAATATACGAACACTTACGAGGTGAAAATCAACGGCTATCATTTAAACATTTATTTTTTTCTAATACAGCATCTAAGGCATTGTTTCCCAAAGACTGGGTCGTGACCCTCAGGTGGATGACTTTTAAAATAGGGGTCCCCAGAAAAAAAGTTTGGGAAACACTGATCTAAGGTACTGTATATGAAAAAAACAACTAAATACTACAGTGGAGTTACGTCTCACCATCTTGGCACAGCAGAGGCAGGATATCTGAATTCGGCCACGGTCATGGCAGTAGAAATGGAGGCAGTAGAAAGGTGCCAACAACCACAGGTAGATGCAGGGAACCCAAACCAGTACTGTGTTCTGGAAACACTGGGTCAGGTCTGGGTTGGTTGTATACCACGTACGGTTCCAGTCCTATAAAGAAAAAAAAAAAAGACGGTACTTCAGCAGTACTTCAAAGTTATAATCTGGACTTAAACTGTCCGACAGAACTGACAAGGGCTGCGTCCACAGAATCCAGACTTGGTCCACGTCTTATGTTGGCAGCAGGTGACAAGTGAAACCACAGAATGTTTACAGAAAATGTGCCTGAGCCCAGTTTACAGAAGGTGTTAGCTGGAAACTATAAAAAGGTATTTTTTTCAGTTTTGTTTTTGTGCTGAGGAGTCAGTTTCTGACTGGTTCATTTTCCAGTGTCTTACTGGGACAATGTAAGGTGGTGACATATAAAACTCTGAGGTAGAGAACCATGTCAACAATAGAGTCTGTAAACAATAAAGCCTAATGTATTGCCAAATGTTTGGTGTTGTGTAACAGCAGCAGTAGAAGCGGCAGTGTGTGCTAAGTGGCTTGTTGTCGTCCTGCTTCTCCTGTTTATCACCGAATGGGTCTAATGAGGGACAGAGCGTCTGGCTGGGCTAACGAGAGCGTCCTGCGGAGTCACCACAGGAAGTGGTTTAAAGGTTCTCATATGGTCAGGCAGTCTGGCCCAACTGGCAGACTCCTAACTGGGATAAGGGTTGAGTGAAGTGCCAAATCGGTGGCAGCTGCAGGATTATTATGTAACAGCCGTCTGTCCGCAGGAGCCAAAAAGGACCAGGGCAGGTGAGGAACTCGGAGGCCGAAGATACCTCAGCTCAGGTCAGCAGACTGATGTCTCAACATAAACAGCCAGTGGTACAGATTAGTCATCAAACGGTGCCATCTTTGCCATCCTCACGTCATCTCATCCCAGTCTGACAGAAGGCTACCTGTCTTAACTCCGAGTACCTTTGTACAATAGCTTTCCTTCATAGAGAAGTCAAAAAGTTCTAAGACATCTTTCTCTGTCTTTACATCTGTCTCAGTCTGCTCTCTTCTGCAGTGGTGTTTCCGCCACAGAAGTCCTTCTCCGTAGAATTCTGCAAGATGACCTTTGACTCCAGGTCACAACCTGCTTCTATGTCTGGTCCGAAATTAACTTCCTTTAAATGATTTTCCAGTTTTTTCAGGAAAGATTAAAAATAAAAACTGGTGATGAGCTTCAATCATTTGGACAGGTTTCCATTCAAGTTTGGTTAAAAAAAAAGTTTGTTTTGATTTCAAACTCAATCAAAACTAACTAATAAAAACCTGATCAAATCTACGGTAACACAGATCAGCATGTCATATGAGGAACGACTGGTCAAAGCTGGTGCAGACACGTGTTTGGACATGTGATATAGGACTGACAGTGAAAGGAGACTTGAGGATAGATAAACACCATAAAACAACACAAATATAACACAGCTTAAGAACAAGAGCATCCGTCTTAGAACTTTCTGACTCACCCTCATTCACCTATGCTTCTATACTACCTGCACAACTCTGCTGCTCACAGGGCGTAGTAACGTGCTCTGTGACCACGGATGTACCATAAGGTGTTGAAGTGATAAATCTCTCGAGCAGCAGTGAGTGGGAGGATACTTTCACAGACCCTTCTGACTCCTGCGGTCAATGGCAGGCAGAGGCACAGGACGCTTTTATGTTAAAAGACCAACTCATCACACACACACCAAGTGGACAATTTTTTTTCCACGGAGACATTACAGTAAACCAGAAAATGTCAAGAGCTTGGGCTTCAAGGTGTCTATTTATACCTGACAAACACCCCAATGTTGCTAACCATCACCTGATGTCCCCCCTTTCCTACACTCAACCTGAGACAAGTTTAGACAATAGTGTGTTGTTATAAAGAGCGTCTGACTCTGGGCCTGTTGTGTCAATGACAAGGCAGTCTGCTGCGCGGCTAAGTTCCTGTTAGCTTCTGGACTGTGCATGCTACACTTGAGGATCAAGACCATATAATCTGCAGCACTTGCCAAAAGCTGTGACTAATGAGTCAGTAGTGACGCCGGCACAAAAGTATGCAAAAGGTTGATTGCCTCGGTTAATAACTGGCAGCTTCACAGCCAAGGGGAGGTGAAAACATTTTGGAAAACATCCTGTGATGGATGTTGTGTAGCTAAAAACATGACACGTGCGCTTTGAGGTGTCTCCAAGAAGACAGGAGGTCTGCACAAGACGGTCCACTTTTATATTCTTTGCAAAAGCTAGCGAGGGACTCTCTGCAGTATCTGCAGGGGCAAAAACAGTTTGCAAAAAAAAAAAAACTTTAATGAGAAACAGGAGGAGAGGGGACGTGGTAAAGGATGGGGCTACATGTTTGGTCTCAGTGATCCAATCATTTTTGATCTCCACAGCTAGATCTCAGCCTTACTCTTATTTTCCAGCATTTACAGTAAGAGCAGCTGACCAGCATGTGTGTGTGAGACGGAGCATCTGATAGTGCTGAGTCAAAGCAGAGTAACAGTAAACCCTGCTCTGTTAGGAACCAAAGATAAAGAACAACAATCACATTACCTCAGGAAAACTGCCCTCACATGGGGGCAGTTGAACAAGGTCAGCACATGGGCAGAAGTGAGTTCTGTTTTTGGACCAATCAGTGCTGCCAACCAACATTTGATACCAAGGTAACTCATTCAGGCATTTGGCTAAAGCAGTGGTTCTCAAACTGTGGTATATGTTCCTCAAGGGGTTCGTTGAGGAATCTGTTACTACCAACAGTGGGTCAGTTTGTTGTTTAATTACTCATATAGTTATACACTTCTTGTATATGGTTCTACAGTTACCAAGTACCAAGTTGTAGTACTACTTGGTTGTTGGTGTGTCCTACTTGGTATTTGGAGGGAAAAACATTTTCTTGCACTGTAACAATTTCTTCCTGGGGGGTCAATAACATATTTCAGATTCTGAGTCTGACTAAAGCAACGGATCAACTAAGGCGAGGGCAGATACATTTTGCTACTGTTGCTAATGCTAATGACATTGAATTAGGGCCACAGAATGGAGGTTAAGGAACGATCATAATCATCCTAAAGTGCAATTAAATTAACTGACAGGACTGACAGCATCTGCTTAACCTTGTGAAGTCACACGCACACACAGGCAGTTGCATTACTGCAGAGTCATTAATAATATAATATCATCTTCATGCATGCAAAACAACAGTTGTAATTCATGATTTCAGTGTCCAGTGAACGCATCACGAACTCACCCACAGAGGGTCCAGACCGCTGAGTCTGCAGAAGTCATCCATCCACCCGTCTGCTCCTTCCTCCCAGATGCTCCGCTTGTTGGTAGTGAACAACTCTTCACCTCACGTCGGCTGTTGCACAAACTCAGCACCAGCAACAGTGTGGAGGGATGGAGAACGAGTACACTGTGTGTGTATGTGTGTGTGTATCACCTTTTTTGCTCTGTAGCTCTTAGTTCTATCTGGTCCCAGTGTGTTTCTCTGGATGGCACACACTGCAGTTATCAGAGTGTGTGTGTGTATGTGTGTGTGTGTGTCACTTCTTCCTTTCCTCTTAATAAAACATCTTCTGTCAGTGAATCTCTGTAACTGTCTCTGTGTGTGAGTCTGCCTGGCTGTTTGAACTGCTGCTGCCCTGAGATCCTGAGTCTTTCTGACTCTGCCTCAGTCTGCTGCCTGTTTATGAGTGTGTCTCCTTTTTGGGTGGGTGGAAATATTCCCCTCTCTCTCTCTCTCTCTCCCTCCCTCTCTCACTTTCTCCCACATCTACTGGATGTCTACCAAAACACCAGCTACTCCCGTCAATGGGATGACAGCCTCACAGCCAGACACACTTTTTAATGTTTAACTCTTTCACCTCTGACCCTTTCACCACAGACCCAGTGGGCAGCCCATTACTACAGACCAGATTCACATACCCAGTCCTAAATCAAAAAAAAAAAAAAAAATCACAGTCAGCCCGATGGCTCACTGATTCATTGATAGAAATACCAAAGATCCCAAAGTCTTAAAGGCACTGTTCCAAACATTCTCATTCCAATAAACAGATCCAGTATTTATAGCCAGTACTGTCACTTTGATCGTCTCAAATTCAGGTCAGCTATTTTACATCATTACAAAATCTTACACTCAGCTGGATGGTGCAAAACCCTCACATGATTTTCCAACTCACACAAAACAGCTTCCTGTTAGAGAAGGGAATTAGTTAATCAGTCGTCATGATGGGCAGAAAACTTGCACTGTAAGTGGAAAAACATGAACAACTCACTGCTCAAAACTGTCTGTGCATGACACGAAATCCTGATTTAGATCAGTGGCCTTTATGGTAAACATGGATCGCCCTATGGCCGCCGTTCTACTAAGATCTATTGTGTGTGTATGCAGCATTAATCATGTGATTTCATATAAATTATTTTACATGCTCAACCAAGGGGTAATGAAATGACTGATTATCCAATGATAGGAACGCAAGTTTTCAGCACTTTGTGTGTAAGCTGCTAGCATGTACCCTCCAATGTAGACTTCACATTGACAAATGGACAGCTGTATTGGCCTTTTAATTCAAACCCACGTCGTCGTTGCACTAGAATGGCAGTAAACATACGTGGGGTTCATATGGACATTATGGCCTAACATCACAAAACATAAGAGAACTACCTACAAAAAGATATACAAAACTGAGAACTGAGTCCTCACACGTGGACAGTCACTCCGCCTGAGACACTGGCACATATTCTTCACAGCAGCTGTGCAGGAAACTATGACACCACTACCACTGGGACTAATGGCGTCTCTGCCATCATCACCGCAGAGAAGAAACATGGAAAAGTTCTGCAGACCACCACCAGCTCCTGCGTCTCGCCGTGTGCAGAAGTGTGGATTATTATTCTTTGAAAAATGTGACTCATTTAATGATTCTCTTCGAGGCAATCAAATGTTTTCATTCAGCTCTTCGGCCTTGGAGAGAATATTTTGAGGGTTATGTAACAGGACGGCGAGGTGAATTCATCTGAAGGTGAAGTCTTAAAAAAAATGACGGCGGGATTTACAGTCATTGAAGGTGACATAAAAACAGGAAACTGAAGCTATAATTGTGGTCAAAGCTGCTGCTCGGGGGTAAATATTTTGCGCTGGGCGTGTTTTTTGGGGTCTGGTTTGAGGGTCAGAAAGTTTAAAAAGACCATTTGCTGCCTTTGGCATCTGTGCAGCTTGAGAAAAAAACAAATTAGTGAAACAAGGTCCACTGAAGCTGTCAGACAGGTCTAAACAAAGCAAAGGTCCACGGTCTAAGTCTAACCAAATATTGTGTTATGTCTTAGTCCAGTCCGCAGCCTGATTTCAATTGTGCTACCAGAAAGAAATGGTGCAGAACACCACAGGTGGTTCAACACAGGCAGTCGAGTGGACCGTGTGCGTATGTACGGCAGGAAGTTCCAGCATTTTTGTTTCTAAATAATAACCAGGATGTAAAAAGTGGGACGTGGCCGACATCCACTTTCTTTTTACCTCACATAACCAACACGCTTGAGTCTCTGCGGCTGAGTGTGTTTTCTAATCAGCAGTAGAAAGTTGACAACATCTGCTGCCTGACTGTAGGGAACCAGTCACGCTAACCCTCCTTTACAGGGTAAAGTAACCTGGGTGCCTGGGGTGGAATCGCTTGATTGTCTGTTTGCACATTTTTATTATTTTCTTCTTACATTATTCTTCTTACAGTCTGTCGACCACTGACAGGGCCTTTCTCTACTGCGGAAGACAACTACCCAGTCAACTACCCAGTGGGGCTATGGTGGCAAAGCTGCCTAGGTGCTACTGAGGTGCACCATCCCCACACACTGCTCCCTATGGAGATGGGTTAAAAGCAGAGGTCACATTTTGTTGCGTGCAGTGGTGTGCTGTGTCACAATAGCAAATTAACCACCTTCAGTTCTACTTCACCGGAGTCACCCAATTCTCTACCAGGCCATAGGTTCACTGTTATCCTCCATCATTAGGGCTCAGCTCAGCAGTAGTTTCTGTAGTGATGTGGCACAGTTTTTACAACGAATGCTCTTCCTGATGCAGCCTACAATGGGATTTGGAACTAGGTGGAATCAAACCCACAACCTTCTGCATGCGAGGCAGCTATAATAAAACTTCCACCTTCTGTTTTAATTAAAAGAATGCTAATTTGAACTCTCCCTCACTGTGTCCCTTAAATAAACTTCCCAGCAGCCTCACAGCCAGGACTCCTCAGCTGATCTGAACCAGCGAGCAGCTTGTGGTCAGAGGTGTTGCAACGTATGAAGAAATGTAGGACAACAACAAAAAAAAAAAAAACAACAGCCCTGCAGCATTGCTCATGTGCATTTGAAGACAAGACGCTGCGCACACTCCGGTCGCTGGCCGCAAGACAGGTCATCATACACAAACACACGCACGTCTGGCCTGCAAATACGACCAAAAACCAGCTCTGCGCTGGTCCATGGTCTGACTGCAGACTGTTTACATCAGCGAGTGTGTATCCATCATGGAGTGATGGAAGGCTGGCACTGGAGTTGGGCCACTTGTGGTCATGCCATGTAGTAGTAGTAATGTGGACCTGGCAGGCCGTGGATGCAGAGGGTGGCTGCGGGGGTGGCAGTGTCCCAGCCAATCCGCGGTCACGCGGTGGTTTACCAGTCTAGGTCACCTACACTTCCTCTGGCTTCTTTCCCTGGAAGGAAAAACAGTCTAGTCAAAATAATGGTGTCATTTTGGCTTCTAACGTTTGAGCAAGGGGGAGACAAATTTAGCATCAGCAAAGCAAAGGGAGGGGCCAACAACAGATGAAGAAACAAGTGAACAAAATATCAGTTCAGTGTTTTTTTTCTCCCTCTCTTTCCTTGCTCTTAAATAAGCAGCTTTAAATGAGCAGCACAGCTTCAGCTCAGCCTGTAAACTCATGTGTCAGCCTACGCAAGCAATTATAACTGGGCTCTTTCTTCCACTGCCCTCTCTCTCCCTCTCTCTCCCTCCCTCTTTTACCCACTGCCATCTTAATCTGCCCTCACTGCTGCACTCTGCTCAGGTCAGAGCTGCGACCGAGCTCAGCAGTGATTCGTTTGGAGTCAATGGAGTGGTGGTCTTCTGCCTAATGATTGGATCGAAGTGTTGATCGAAGTCACCTGGTTTACAGACCAGTAAATGCTGCTGCTGCTATGACCAACATATGAGTATGTGTGTGTGTGTGTGTGAGTGTGTGTGTCTATACCCGTCTCACAGGCCTCTGTGAGTGATATGAGCCTAGAAGTATTTACCACCCTGCTGCCTTGGCACCTATTGAGGAGCAACTCATTCATAAGATCTGCAAAAAGGCAACATAATAATGTAGTAATTACACACACACACTGCTGTAACACCATCTTCTGTTTCCATAGCAGTATTTAAACATGAGTGACTGTGAATGGTGAGTCAGGGTTCTCTTCAAGTCAAAGGAGTCAAAGACGAGTCTCATTTTTTAACTATAGCCAAAATACATAAACTAATGACTCAGTGTTAATTTATAGCAATTAGTTCATTCCGGGGACTTGGAATTTCTCAGGGAGCCAGGACTTCAACTTCATTCAAGGAGCCCAATAACTCCTAGAGGCGGTCTCCCTAACTCCCGTTCTGGTTCTGACCCAAACCTAAAGCAAACAAAACCCCCTCTCTGTCATGTTGTTGGCCTCTACCTCAGAGGGTTGCCACAGAGAAGTGTCCACATTTACGTGTTTCTCAACACAGTCCTCCTCTGATCCTCCCAGATGACACTGGTGAGAAAAATGCTCAACCCTCCTGTCTGTACAATGATCCAGAAGAAACTGTGGAAACATCCCACCTTCACACATCATTTTGTGTTTTTATTTTTACCTGTTTATCAGGAATATTCCCTTCAGATTTAGCATCTAGGACAGCAGCAGACAGCAGTGGTTCCCCTGGAGCCATGGAGCTATTGTGTCTTTATTTGACAGCTGGGAATTGTACTATATTCTGATTTTGTGTTCTTTGTTCAACAAGAAAAAGAAGTGTACAAATGACAGTGTTTTGAAGCTGTGAATGTGCACACGCCCAACCACTGTTCCATTTACAGAAAAGGTTTAGGAAGAGAATCGTTCTGTTGGGGTAGGAGACATTCAGTCTTTGTTCCTCACCAGACACTCTTTGTTTTCCTACTGCTAATCCCAGGTCTGGATAAGAGATGAATGAAAAAAGGACATGTGGGATATAACTCTCTGCGTGCCCACAGCGGCTAATATTAAAGAAAAAGGTCTTTTTACCTCTTATTAGTGCTAAACATTCTCACAGCTCCTTCTCTGTCATTTTATTAAACCAAGCTAACGTCCGTTGCTTGGAGCGGTACAGTATATTTACAGGTCAGCAATGAAACTCCTGGAGTAGGTCTCAGCGAGAAAATAACTAAGTGAATTTCCAAAACGTACAAAGTAACATTCTGTGGTGCCAAAAAGCTCCAAACTTGACCTAAATCAACTTCTCCTACATTTATATCCTTTTTTTTACCCGTACGCAAAGAAAAATGTGTTGCTGACAGATTTTAGAATTAGGAAGGTAATTGTCATGGCTAAATTATCTTTTTTTTTTTTTACATCTCAGCTCAAAAAGAGCAGACCTCAGACAGAGTAAAGATGCTCATTTTCCTCTCAGACAGAAAACACTCGGCCATGACTTTCCCAGCAGGCCTGGAAGCAGAAGGTGTCTGAAGGAGACTGTGCTGTGATTATACTCCAGAGGAAAAACCACTCAGTGTGACAGTCAGCAGAACGCCACCGACGTCTCTGCAACAACACTGCACGCATGAATAAGGATAAATATTAAAAGAAATAACAAATTAACATTCAGGCTAGTGTTAAAGTCACTCTCTCGCTGAACACAACACAAAACATGTTTTTTTTTCATGAATCCACTTAAACTTCTTTTCCAAGACAAAGCTATAATGGGGCTCACTGAGGATGATGAATCTTATTATAACAAACGAGCCAATCAGAGCTTTGTTTGTTGGCTAGAATGTCCAGAATTGTGACATAGCCTGACTACAAGATCTTCGGTAGGACGGATACTGGGTCACATATGAAGACGTTCACACCAACATTCACACCAGTTAGGAGTGAACAGTTCACCTCATCCTACATGTTTTTTTGGTCTTGCATGTTTTTCGGATAGTGAGAGCGAACTGAAGACAAAACCCACGCATACACAATGGAACACTCCATACAGAGACCACTGGGCTGGGCTGCATCATATAAAAGAAGTGGCCCACATCCGCGTCCCATCTGGACATAAATAGGAATAAAAGTGGCTAAAAAACAAGCTGCAAATACACACAGTTGATGTACTGTGTGTGTGCGTGTGTGAGTGTTGATGGAATGTAGTGTCGAGCACACAGAGCTGAAACTCATCAAGACCAGAAACCATCTACCAGATTGTACATCCACTTTATTCTATAATCAAACACAGCTATTATTCTATGTTAAGCATTGTCTGCATTGACTCTGGAAACACAACAGTCTAAATAGACGGTGCGACCGCAATTTCACGCTATTTTTGAATAATCTGTCTTTTCTTTAAGGACTGAAATCAAACCACAGGCACAGCGCTGGGCAGCTATACTTAATGTGTCAGCCAGTGGTGGTTGTTTGGTTGGTTCTGACCTGACTGTGCCTCACAGATCACCCAGCCACAGTCCAAACAGGCATCTAAACAACGTGAGGAGATGCCTGCTGTGTGCCAGCATGATCCGGGGTGGTTAACTCTTCCTCCACGGCTTCATCTGCTGGAGTTGATTGTTAAAGGTTAGCGGAGCAGGGTCTGCAGGTGGAAATCATTCATTTGATTAGAGGTTGAGTTTAGTTCTCTGGTTTTACAGTTCATTTTGGTTCACTTCAACACAGTCTGGACTTATGTGAACTGAGCGGGGTCGTCGTTACTGTGATCAGTAACATCTCTGCTGTTCCTGCTAGAACAGCATGTAAACAGAACCAGGATTGTGACCTAATTATTTTCATATTAATGGGATATTCTCTGCTTAGATCCTTCATGATGATGAAGCCTCCAATATCAGTACTGGAGGAACACCTCAACAGGGATTGGAGGATATTTTGACTACTGCATCAGAGCTGCTTATGGTTGTATATCTCTAATTGTTTTTCTTTCTCTTTTTTCAGATGATTTGATTATTTTTCTGTCAATTTCTAAAAACAAAAATAATTCTAACTGTCCATCCATTCATCCATCCAGTAGATTAGTTCATCCATCCATCCATCCATCCATCCATGCATCCATCCATCCTCCTGTAGACCATAAGCAGGGCCTGAGGAGCTCCACTGTAACCAGACTTTCTGTAAACATGGTTCAATTACTTTAACAATTGTTAATAGGATGCTGTGGTTTTTGTGTCTAAACTAGAAACAGACCTGCTGCAGCCCTGAAATAGCAGCAAGTGGAAATCCACGGGACACTTCCTCGTCAACAGTTACCCATTGCCTGGTGCAGCGCCTCCCCCTGTAATAGAGCCTGGAGCCGGCCTCCCACTCAATCCGGTTTCCTGTGACGTAGGGAGACCAACAGCTCATCACGAGTCACCACACTGAAGTGGTAAGGGAAGCATCAACAAAAACAATTCCTCGCCTTTTCACTTGTGGATTGTAGGTGGAGTCCTTCTAAAAATATGACAGGGGAAAACTGAGGGGGCGATTGGAGCTGTGGTCGTAACATTTATTGGCGAATGATCCACTCCCACTCTCCAAGTTGTAAAAACATTGTCTTCTAAGGCTGGAAAACAAATGGGATGAGTACAATGTGGTGGCAATAATGAAGAGATGACCAGCAGAATTTTCTACCACTGCTGTCGTCACATCATATTTTTATGTTTCTACAACCACAGAACGCAGCCACGGCCCTAATCCTGGTCCATTTGATATTTTTATATCTCCTTTTGACTGCTGCCAGCTTTTATTGAGTCTGGACAATGTCACACAATAACAGAAACAAAGAAAATTAAAGCTGCAGTGTGGAACTTTAGCGGGGGTTTGTTGTTGATGTTAACGTTGGGTCTATTTTTGGCTTTCGGGGACCAATAAATGTAATGTAATTAGAGCCAAGTGAAGAACACGTACGTCAAGGAAGTCCTGGGTGAAAATAAGGGAGATTTGTGGAGCACCTACGCACACAACACTATTCATGTGAGCCTAATTTTGGGCTTCTGCATCTGACAGCCAGTCTTGGGAATCCCCAAACCCAAATATGAGCATTGGCAAAGTCATTTTTGCAAGGTATTAACATAATTTACAGTAAATCCATCAAAAACTGTATTTTTGATGCACATACCTCGCCGTACCTTCAATACCTCTGTAGTCACCATCCACTGAAAGTACTACTCACTGCACCCCCTCAGGTAACCTGCCCCCCATCTTGAGAACTCTATGGTAAAAGTACTAACCAGTTCACCTGCCAGCCCAGGTTTTAAATATGACAACTTTAATCAGACTCCAGTTTATTCATATCAGCATTTCCCTTTCCTTTAAATAAAGTCCAAATCTGGGCAACAGAACAGACTATTCCAGACAGTGACTGGACTAAAGTGAACGTCAGAGGCAGCAGTCATCACTCAGTGTCTTA